CGACGAGCTGCATCGAGGCGAGGCAACGGGGCAGAAAGCCAGTGCGGGCAAAAATTATATAAAGCGAGAACGACAGGCGGCACCGCAATATGCCGAGACAGTGCAAAGGCAACAGGCGCATCCTTTCGGCCAGAGCCCGAGGCCTAAAACTACTGCCTAACGCGCCGAACGGGCGTTGGGCGACCTATGTTCGCACCAAGCCGTTCGCCATTGGGCCCGCGCCCCTGGAGCAGGTCTCTACGTTTGTAGTACCTGCTCGTGCCAGGCTGCGGCAGGCCAATGCATCGCTTTGTAATCATGTGCGCCCGCGTCTCGCACCGCGAGGCGCACACCGCGCAGAAGACCATTTGGCCACTGCGCCAGAGCTGGTGCGTTTCGTGCGCAGCACGAACGCCTAACGGAAGACCCTGGCAAGGTTGCGCCAGCAGCCCTCGTCTGGTGTGTCGGCTGCGGCCACATTGGTCGCAGCACCAGCGCATGCCACGCTTTACAATGAGGTGCCCGCGCGCGTCAGGCTTTTGCCTTTCGCGCGCGGGCCCCTCAAAGGGACTGGATCAGCATCGGCAAAATTGCAGCGCGCGCAGCGTCGCAAGATGCGGAGCACCATGCGTAGCGTAAAACGCGACGAGACCTCACGTGCCTTCCTCAGCGTCTCACCCACGACGTTCTTAGGGTGCATAGCTGCTCCCCTTTTGGCGAGCTCGTCAGCGTGTCGGTTTCCAAGCCACTTTGCAGCCGAACGCCCTTCTCGCAGACGTTGGGCGTCACTGCGATGACTGGGAATCCACTCGATGTCAATGAACTCTCTGCCAATGTCAAGCGCCACCCGCCAGAATTCCTTCCATAACTCGCCGAGGTGATCGGTTGTGCTGATACCAGCGTCACTGCCTTTGTCCCAAGCTTTCTTGAGCTCAAGATAGTCCGTGACGATAGTAATGTGCCCAGGCCCTTTATGACGTAGGGCGGCGAAGATGGCCGCCCAGAGTTCTCCTGCACCAGCACATGTCCAAGAAAAACGCACAGGGCCGTATAGCGCGCCCAACACTTCGCCTTGGTTACCAACCATGACGGCGGCCCACCCAGCTCGGGATAGAAGAGGAGGCACCGCATTCCTCCCCGACCCGTCTGTGCAAACAATCCCGCTGAATCCTCCTCCAGGAGGCGGGCGTTCCCATACCATTCGTTCATGTTGATGCGGTGGCGGTAGTCCGTAGCTTGGATCATAGGCAGGGTCGGGGAACATCCCTCGGTACGTGACGTATGTCATCGGGTGTCGAGATTCATGTTCTGTTCTTCTATGAGCCAGTAGCCGTCGCTCATCACCGCACCAGTCTTGACGCTCAGCCGCATGGAAGAGGCATCTGTAAATGCGGTGTGATGGCGTTCCCTCCTCAGAACGGCATAATGCGCACAGCGGCGTGGAAGCAGCCCCGTGCTGATACAGCTGCTCCTGCGTCCAAAAAACCCCAGCAAGCCAAGTTCGAAGAAGTCCTGCACCTTGGTAGTCCTCCTTGCTCGTGAGGTCCTTAACCATGGTGATGGCAGGGTCGAGGAGTGGGACACCTTTGAAACCTTCGAGTCGAACCTGTCTTAGTAGCTGTGTTGTAGTGGCCTGGTCCACCAGCTTGCGAAGGGTGTGCAGCCCGACTTCGTGCAAGTTTATGGCCAGGTTCTCAGGCGTGCCGTGCAGTTCGTGGTCGGGAGCGGCGGTATCACCACCGCCCCCATATCCCAAAGATTGCTTTGGAGCAAGCCACGTGTCCCAGCTGATCGCTTGCTAGCCGATGCGCTTCAAAGTTGACAGAACAGCCCCGACTGGTCCAATGGCTGACCCCCATTTGCCATTCTTGCTCAGGGCGAATTGAAAGGCAAGCTTCATCTGTTGGGGAGTGGCCCACTGCTTCCATATGGCCTTGAGCCATGTGACCAAGGGGAGGGCATTGGCGTCGTAGGTGGGGTACGCCTTCGGGTCCTCAGAGAGCATGAACTCGACGGTCGTGGAAAGGAGGAGAAGGAGGGGGAGGAGGAGGAGGATTGAGGAGGAGGAGGAGTGAGGAGGAGGAGGAGGAGGAGGAGGAAGAGGAGGAGGAGTGAGGAAGAGAAGGAGGAGGAGGAGGAGGAGGAGGAGAAGGAGGAGGAGGTTATCTCACCCACCAGTGGGACTACTTCGAGCCCCAAGACATCTTCTCCATTCCTCGCCCCTCAGGTTCCACATCGGCATTCCGACATCCCCTCCTCGTGCCTCTGCATCCGACGGTGGGTCAGCTACGGGGAGCTAGCCGCACGCGGCGAGCGCCTGGTGATGCAGGAGGATCGTGAAGCGCGCCCGTGCGTTTGCGCCTGCGTCGGCAGGCAGGCAGGCAGGCACCAGACATTTGTGCAAGCACACCGCCGAAGCGTGGCCACGAGGGCGTGGGCCAAGAACCCAGGCCTCCTTCGCCGAAGGCCCAAGCCCCCATAGAGCTACCCCCAAAGAAGAACACTCTGGCACTCCTCGAAATGAAGGGGCCCAGGAACACACAGCTAAGTGCACACACACACACAAATCCGAGGATCCCCTGTATATACACCTACTTTTCTGGGTTTTCGTCTTCCCCCCCCACTTCCCATATTTTCTCACAGGGAAATGAACGATTAGTTGTGTCTGTGTGTTATGTTCCCCTCCCGACGAACGCCAGGGTTGCCCTCAGCCCTCATGCCGGCTGCAAAGCTTGCGGTGCGCGGGCATGCGCGGGCTGGCGCCATCTCGCTGCCCCCCCTCCCCCATGGGCACCCGGAGCCGCGGAGCGGGGTCGGCAGGTCTGGAGGGAGGGGGGGCAGGGCGGCAATGGGTGGGGCGGCCAGGGCCACCTAATACGTCGCCCAACTCTGCGCATCGCGCCCCGCGATGCGCGACGCGGCGCCTCCATGACGTCGCCGGCCGCCGCCACCTTGCCGCTGAGCTCGCCGAGGGCGCTCGCCAAGGACGCCGCCTTCCCCGCCGCGGTGGTCAGCTCCTTGCCGGTCCTGGGGCGACGCGGGGGGGGGAGGGGAACGGTAGGTGGAGGAGGACGAGGAGGAGGACGAGGAGGAGGAGGAGGAGGAGGAGGAGGAGGGAGGAAGAAGGAAGAGGAGGAAGATCGAGGATCGATGCGTTTGCACTGGACCGCGCTTGGGGCTGACTTCGAGCAGTGCATGAGCAGGAGGGGGGCGGAGGGAGAAGAGGCGGAGGAGGACTCGATGGGGGAAGGAGGCACAGGAGGAGTCGAAGGGCAGTTGGGAGGGCGAGGAGGAAGATGGGGAGGGGGAGGGATGGACCGCGGCACCCTGGGATGCAGGCTACCTCGCGCCGTCCGTGGACCCAGGCTCGCTGATGACCTTGACCCTGTCGGCTCCCAACGGGCTGCCAGGCAAATCGCGGGCAGAGCCCCTGGGCAGACCGCGGACACGGCCGCCTGCTCGCCGTCCACGCCCGAGCTTTCGGCCTCAGGCTACTTCACCCCTGGCGGCCGTGGACACTGCCGTTCGGCCGCCGCGCTTCCCTCTAGGCCACCCAACTTCGCGCACCGCGCCCCCACGGTGCGCGACGCGCAATTGTCTTCGCGCGCCCGCGGCGCCTCCCATTGGAGAAGGGCAGCCGCTCTGGCCCAGACCGCGACGCGTGAGTACAGTCAACCCGTATCGTAAGGATGCGCGGTAAGGATGCACAGGCCCTGGACGCCCATGCCGAGGCTCTTCGAGCGGGGCTGGCCATAGCAAGTGGCTGAGGATGGACCGAAGATGACCGAAGTGGCAAGGATGCAAGGGCACCCTTGGGGAAGCCGACCATCCTTACCATGCGGGTTGACTGTATCTTCGCGCCCCCGCGGGCGACCTAACTGGGCTCCCCGCCGCTCGTCGGCACGCCGCCGGCGCCGCAGCGGCCCGTGCTCGCCGCGCGCAGGCTGGCGTTCCGCCGCGGCTGCGCTGGGCAGAGCGCCTGGGCCCGCCTCTCTGCCCTGGGCCTCCTCCTCCTCCTCCTCCTCCTCCTCCTCCTCCTCCTCCTCCTCATCCCTCGCCTCGTCCTCGTCCTCCTCCTCCTCCTCCTCCTCCTCCTCCACCTCCTCATCCCTCTCCTCGTCCTCGTCCTCGTCCTCCTCCTCCCCCTCCTCCTCGTGGCTGCCGCTGCAGCCCCAAGAGTCCACAGAGTGTTTGGTCGGCGGCACCTTGGACCCAGGCCGCGGCCGTGGCTGCGGTAGGGCTGCTGCGGTCCGAGCTGGGCACGGGAGCCAGGGCCCCAGGCGTCCCCCGGCGCTTTTCGGGGATGGACAGACCCTCCTTTAGTAAAACGTGGTTTAGTGAAAACGACCTGAGGCCCAAACCTGGCGGGCGCAAGCCTGGGAAACAACGGCCACGGCGCCCTCTCGAGAACCGAAAACGGACAATTCACTAGTCGACGTGTCACTGTTGGGGGTTCTGTCCACCCCCGAGGTTTTGCTCCACCCGCGACCCCGGACCAGCCCCTTCCCTGGGAGCAGAGATCTCGATCTCTGGGACTGCTGCAGACTTGTGAGACGACTGTGCGCGGCGCGCCGGCGAGAGCCACATGTCGAGAAGCGCTCGTCATCCGTCTTTGAAGCTGTTGCGAACTTCCAGCCTCGGAGGAGGAGGACGAAGGGTAGGAGGAGAGGCAGGGGTCGGGGGAGGAGGAAGAGCAGGGGGAAGGAGGGAGGGAGAAGAGGGGAGGGAGAGGAGGAAAAAGGAGGGAGGGAGAGGAGAGGGAGAACAAAGAGCAGGGAGAAGGAGGGAGGGAGAAGAGGGAAGGGAGAGGAGGAAAAAGGAGGGAGGGAGAGGAGAGGGAGAAGGAAGAGCAGGGAGAAGGAGGGAGGGAAAAGGGAGCGACGACGAGCGGAGAGCGAAGAGGAGGGCGTCGTTGCGCACGAGTGCATCGAGAAGATGCTGCTCTTGCTCTTCCCGCCGCACAGCAGCGACGGCTCGCCGGGGCACACGGCGTCGCATATGGAGCTGTCGCCGGCCATCTC